CGCTGCTCTGGGGTTGCTGGGGCGGGAGCAGCGCCCGCAGGGCGTCCTGGACTCCGGAGGGTGACAGGGGCCCGGTCACACGGGGCGTGCTGCGGAGTCCGCTGCGGTTCGTGCAGGGCTGCTCCTGCAGGGGGATGGAGGAGCTTTTTTGAGAAAGGGGGTTGCTGAGCCATAGAAAAATCAGGCCGGGCCCGCCCACAAGAACAAAAAAAACCCCAAACAAATAAAAAACACAAAACCCAAACAAAAACAACAAAACAACGTCTGACATGGCCCTGGACTGAGCAAGAGAAAGACTCTCCCCCCATTCCCCTCCCACACCAGAGCCTGCGGGGCCCAGGCACCTAGATTGTGTCTGCTCCAGCTCCAGTAAGGATGGTGGGGGTGATGGAGTGCCAGTACAGGCTCCCCACTGATAGCGGGCCAAGCCCTGAACCTTGGGGGCCGGATCCAGGAAAGTCAGGGGCCACATCCAGCCTAGGCCTTAGGGTCTCTACTCCTGATCTAGGGAGCCCTCTCAGCCTTGAACATTACGACCCTACTCTCTGTCAAAGGGCTGGTTCTTCTAGGCAGTTGCTGAATCTGAAAGTTTTTTTTTTATTTATTTATTTATTTTTTTTTAAAAGCTTTCATTGAGTTTTGCTCAGTGGTAGGGCTATGCATGCACAGAGCTGGCTGCTGGAACTGAAGCACTGCATCTGTCAAAATAGTCTAATGTCTCTTCTGGATGCTTTCTGTGCATCCTTTTATTAAAGAGCAAAATGTTTTTTGAACTTGTTCAGCAGCTTTGGTTTGTAGATAAGACTGTCAAGATGGCAATTATTCTTTGTTTTCTAGCAATACTTCCCGTTTACCTTCTTTCCGGAATGGAGATTTCTTCCCATCAGTTTCATCTCCTGCAGCAACTCAACAAGCAGCGCGAGCAAGACTTGTTCTGTGACTGCTGTATCCTGGTGGAGGGGAAGGTCTTCAAAGCCCATCGCAATGTGCTGTTTGCCAGCAGTGGCTTTTTCAAAATGCGCCTTTCCCAGAGCTCAAGAGAGACAAGTCAGCCAACGACAGCTACTTTTGAGGTCTTCTCTCCTGCCACCTTCACAGTTATTCTGGACTTTGTTTATTCAGGCAAATTGTCTCTCACGGGTCAAAATGTGATTGAAGTGATGTCAGCTGCTAGTTATCTGCAGATGACAGATTTTCTTAGCATGTGTAAGACATTTATTAAATCCTCACTGGAGATTAATGAAAAGGAGGAGGAACACTATTTCACCCTCTCGGCCACCACAGTCAACAGTGGATTTGACTGCCCACCTTCTAATAAGTCAAGAAGGAAAGCTAAAAGCAACCCCATCCGCTTTCATTTAAGGGCAGATCAAAAGGCAGGCATGGTGAACGAACATTCCTGGAGTGATAACAGCAACCATTCATCTTCACAAATGATTGTCCAACAGCAAGAAACACAATTATCTAACAGAGGCCAAAGGCTTGGCTCAGTGAAAAAGCGCCAACGGCGCCTAGGAAAGTCTCAGCACCATGGCTTTCTGAAATATAACTCAAACACACCTGATGAGGCCAGTGAAAGTTGCAATGCGTTGGAGAGGAACCATATTTCTGAAGATGAAGAGCAAATTCAGTTTGAGATCAAGAACAACATTGCTGATACTGGGTACCGATGTGATCAAGAATCAAAAGCGATACCAAAGAAATGGTCAGTTGCTCAGCTGGAATTTTCAAGAACTTCTCCTGTGAATATGGATTTAAAAGCAGATGAACTGTATTACTCTGTGCCCTCAATTCTAGGGGTAATGGGTGTTTGGAATGAAGGTAATTGTAGATATCATTTTATAAAGTTTCCATCTTTGTACTTTTCTCAGGGTTCACTTGGAAAAGATTCTGAGCATCAGCAGAGCTTTACTTTAAGCTTCATTACCATTTCTTAATATAGTATAACACCTAAGGAATTAGGAGTGAGTTGCAATATAGTCTAGTGGGTGGTTACCATTTCTTAATATAGTATAACACCTAAGGAATTAGGAGTGAGATGCAATATAGTCTAGTGGGTGGGCATCTTGACTCTGAGCCAGAAGACTGATGCTAGATCTTCAGCTGGTTTGACTTCAGCAGAGCTATAAGACAGTTTACAATGTGCATGGTTTCATGGTTATGTACCCATAGCACATAAGAGCCATACTGGGTCAGAGCAAAGGTCGATCCAGCTCAGTATCTTGTCTTCGACCGTAGTCAATACCAGATGACTCACAGGGAGTGAACAGAACACATTTAACCAGATGACTCACAGGGAGTGAACAGAAAACATTTCCCCTGTTCCCCATTTCCAGCCTCTGACAAACAGAGGCTAGCACCACCATCCCTGCCCATCATGGCTAACAGCCATCAATGGACCTCTCCTCCATTAATTTAACAGGGTTCAAAAAAGAACTAGATAAAGTCCTGGTCTTCACACAAGTGGCATCCTCTGCCAAGGAGTTCCACAGGTTGACTGTGCCCTGCATGAAGAAAAACTTCCTTTGGCTTGTTTTAAACCTGCTACCTATTGATTTCATTTGGTGAGCCCTAGTTCTTATGTTATGGGAACAAGTAAATAACTTTTCCTTATTCACTTTCTCCACACCTGTCATGATTTTATAGACCTCTAGCATATTTCCCCTCCCCCCTTAGTCTCCTCTTTTCTAAGTTGAAAAAAAAATCAGTCTTATTAATCTCTCTTCATATGGCAGCTGTTTCAAACACTTAATTTTTGTTGCTCTTTTCTGAACCTTTTAGCACAGGGGCCTCAATTGCTGTATAGTTATGTGCTACTGTAATAGCTTATGTATTTAAGTTATTACACATAGCCTCTTCATGTACTTACACATGAGTAATCTTATTGACATCAGAGATACAGTTTAGGTGCATAAGTGTTTGCAGGATTGGTTCAAGGAGGTTTATCATGTGCAATAAAAGGTAGAATAAACAAGTAGAAGAAAGCAAACACATTAACAGCAATTTGCACAAATAGCATGGATTATCCACATTGTGTGAAATAAAATATTTAAATAATAAACATTTGAAGTCCGGACTCATTTATATTGCATGCATGTCAGAAATTTTGCAATTCACAGCATTATGCTTTTGAAGAACTGGAAAAACTACCAAAATTGTTGAAGAGTTTCAGTGGGTAGCCAAGTTAGTCTGTTACAGAAAATACAACAACAAATTATCTGGTAGCACTTTATAGACTAACAAAACATGTACATGGTATCATGAGCTTTTGTGGGCACAGCCCACTTCTTCAGATGACCGGAGTTATGAGTAGGGGATATGAAAACTCAGAATAAATAGGAGAAAGGAAGGGGGGGAGGGTAAGAGAAAGATACGCTGTTTCCCACCCCCCTTCTGTTTACTGGAGAATGGGTGTTAGACCAAAGCAGATAAAAATCAGTCAGTAGATAGATTGCTAAGGCAGGAAGGATACCATTCAGAAAGCTGTTAGCACCTCAGTGATAAAGTCCCCAGCATCCCAAATCTCGATTAAGCCCAGTAGCATGTGAATTGAATTTGTGTATGTAATGTAATTCCAGGCTTTCCCTGTGTATTGGGCTTGAGGAGCTGGCCTGTGACAAGACCGCCAATGAATTAGGGTGCGGGAAATGTCTTAAACATTAGTCAAATAGGAGATGGAAGAGTTTTATATATTCATGTGTACAATATTGAAAAGTATTCACAAATTGAGAAATAAAAATAAGTTGGTTTAGAAAATACTAATGGGACCCTTGAGACCAAAAGTCCATCTGAATGGCTGTGGTTGTAAGAGAGCTGTGATAGGCTTTGATCTGAGACTTACAGTCATGTTTTGGGTTCTTTGCTTGCTTAAAGTGACATTTTAATCACATTACCTTCCCCATCTTAATGACTTAACCAACCATACAACGGAGGTGCTAATTGTTCTTATCAGCCTCTTGTAACTACCTGAACAATCTATTCACTGTCTTTTCTCCTCTCCCACTTGCTTCCCTTATTTATTCTTGGATCTGGACTTTTAATACTACAGTCATCTGAAGAAGGGTTGTGCCCACGAAAGCTCATGATACCATCTACATGTTTTGTTAGTCTTTAAGGTGCTATTAGACTATTCGTTGTTTTTTAAGTTTTTGTTGAAGAAAAGTTAGCTTTTCCCATAATCTAAGGAAGGGACTTAATGTTTACCTAATTAATAGGATTTTCTCTGTAACAGATGATCTACCCAAGATGATATTCAAGTGCCCCTTCTGCACTCATACTGTGAAACGAAGAGCGGACATGAAGCGGCACCTTCGATGTCACACAGGCGAACGACCTTACCCGTGTGAGGCATGTGGGAAAAAATTCACAAGATTAGAGCATCTACGTAGCCATTTCCAAACAGTATGTTGTTTGACTAAAGATTGGCTTTCTTGAAAAATGAAATTATGTTGGCAACAGCGGTTTATTATCCTGAACTAGCCAATCACTCTTCTTACTGCTCTTCAGTGGCCTATAAAATAATTGAGTTGTCTCACTTATCTTAGTTTCTAAACTGAGACGAGCGTCTACATCAGAACACTCCCTATCAAATTTACCATTAAAATTAGCTCCTTTGATTGTAGCATAACCGTGGCTTTTATATTAACGAGAGACCATAGAGCTGGAATTTCTCTTTTAACCCTACATTTTAAGATGGATGAGACCTTTTGGCATCATGAAAAGAAACTTGTGCCACACCTGGTATGTACCTATATGACTTCATACTCAAAACATATGGACTTCCTTTTCAGTGAAGACAACTACCTTTTACATGTAAAAGTACTACAATTTAGAAATAACTATGGTGGCATAGCATAGCATTTTCTTTAAAAAAAAAAAAAAAAAAAGAAAAAGAAAAAAAAGGAAAGTAGTATTTAAGAGAAAAGGCTTTAATAAAAAGCCAATGGACAGTTTAAAAAATGGTCTTCAAATGACAGATTTGAGTTGTGGAGAACAAGTCAGCCACAAATTCAAAGTAGCTGGCAAAAGCTAGCTTTTCATCTAACGCTAGTTCATGATCCAATATATTTGTACTATAGATTTTATTTTTTAAAAAATCAGTGCAGTTTTGTTGGTTCTTACTATAGAAGTTTCATGTTTTATAATCCATCCCCTTACTTATTTTTATGGCAATTATGAATTTCTCAGTTTATAAAAAATGATAATATCTAAAGAAAAATATAATTCTATTAGCCCTTCTTTGGATGGGAAGCTAATATTTTCTATTTTCCACCTCTCTAGATACATCAAGCAGGCAAACTAATCTGCAGAAAATGCAAGAATCATGTCACTGACCTAACAGGACATGTGGTTCAACAAGGAACAAGGCGCTACAGACTATGTAATGACTGTTAACTGAAGCAGGTATTGAAAGCAGTCGTGATGACTTAGACACAGAACATCCTCTTACTATCTCTGTAGGAGACAAAATTTCTGGGTGGCCATTGGATGAAGAGCCCAGATCAGATGTAGCGATGGAGGAGGAGCCTGATAAATTTGTCATCCAACAAGTCAGTGATGATCACACAGCTGAGACAGAAGGAAAAAGTGAAACAAATCTTAGATAGCTGGATTTGGAGCAAAATCTACAAGTGCTCATCTCATCAATGACTTACTACAGCTTGCCAATTAAAAGACCATGATCTGTAAGTTGAACCTCTCTGGTCCAGCAGCATCCATGGTCCACTTATCAAGGATGTGGTCAAGTTTCCTGTAGGCCCATAAAGTTTGTTTACAGCCACCAGTCCTGGCTCTCAGTGCTCTGTGCTGTTATTTAGCTCTGATTTACCCCTAAATGTGTCCTAAGAGTCCAGTAAGCAGTGGCAGTGTTGCTAATGCTGCCAGACAATATTGACCTCCTGTGATTCAGCAAATTCTCTGGTGCTGGACTAGAGAGGTTCAACATGTACTTAGTTTATCATAACAGATCCTTTTTAATAAGGCTGTAGGCCCGATTTTGCTCCCATACAATCTAGTGTGCACAGTTACATTCCATTGTGTCCACAGAAATTTCTAACTACTTTTTTCCTATAATGTAAAGACCTTTGAAAATTGTCCAGAAACAATGGAATCTCTAGAGAGCTATTAAAGTAATTTATTTTATGATAAATCAAGACCACCTTGAAGTTCCTGTTCAGATGAAAGCATGAATCATTTCCCTTCATTTCAAACCCTTTGTTAGAACTAAGTTGTTTAAGATGTTCCAGTAATCTAAAGGTATTTCTTAATGTTCTGCCTATGTATATGAAAAAATACATACTATATCAGCTGCAAAGCAAGAACTACTGAGTCAGTTACTATGAAAAAAAATCTTAATGCCAGTAGCTATCATATATTTTTGAAAATACTGTATTTAATCTATATATAAATACTTATGAAAAATTTACATTTGATATTTATAAATAAAATTAAAAAACTAATTAGAATTTGACTAATCTGTTTACTAGAGTAGTATTGTCTCAAAAAATGCTACCCTTTATTGGTTAAAAGAAAAGGCATGTTAAAGAATCTCTATAGAGTAGGTTACTGAACGGAACAGCTACAGTTGGAGAGTGAGTTTGCATATGCAAATGAACAGAGTTCACACTGAGGCTTTTTAATTTAGACTAACAGACTAATGCTAAAAGTGCAATCTTTACAAAGTTTTCTTTTGTTATTTAAAAAACATTGTTCGGGACTTGCATTCGACTGCTAGATAAAGGGGGCTGGTTAAGAGCATTATAGGGGAGATATTGAGGTGTCTAAGATTCAGGAACACAAGTCCTACTTTCAACTGGACTTGACATAAATCCTCCAGGTATTTTTTGAAGTCTTTCCTGTATCCAGTGTAGAGATGACCAAAGGCCATTGGGCCCTCAAAACCCAAACCATATATTAAGTAAGTGACAAGTGAGACTGAGAGCTAAAACATACAAATTCATACAAATACTGGCTTACCATTGCCTTGGCTAGTTCACCCTTGCCTTGGACCTGCACCACTCTCAAAGCAGCCAGCAAACTCCCTCCATCCCTAGCCCTGTTGTGCCCCTCTCCCCGTTCTGTGGGGACAGAGTACAGGGTGGGAGGGGGGTACCCTGACATCAGCTCCCTTCCCTGCTTTGCACAGCAAGCAGGAGCTCGGGGAGGGAAGGGGGGCAGCTCCAATGGGGTGAGCTGCCTTGAGGGCCTAGGATGGAAATTGGCCCAGTTCATCTCAGACAGCTGCATCTTTTGGCTTCCCTCTTATGCTAGAAGCTCTCCTAAACAACCGCTCTGGCTCGGCAACGTCCAGTCAGAGTTGGCCCCGCCCTGTCCTGCTGAGGGCCGGTTTCCCTCATGTCCCAGGCCTGTTTCTCCTCCTCCCCCACCACGCGTCTACACTGAAATGACACCCTCGCTCCGCTTGCAGTCATCAGTTCAACTAGGTCTCTCATGCTCTCTCCTTCCCCCTCCCCCAGGGGATGCGCAGCAGTGGGGGCAGGCCTCTGGGCCAAACCAGTCAGAGGTTCAGTCCAAGATACACCAGCAGATCTCGAGCTATTGCTTGGTGACCACTGCTCTAATTAGCCCACTGCCTTTTCCCTGGGCACCCCCTCCAGCTCAGATACGATCAGACAGATTGCACCCCTAGTTCCAGCAGCTGTGTGTGTGGCTGCACCCCCTGGCTTGGATTGCCATCATACAAGGGTTTAGAGTTTTGTTCAATGGCTTTCAGAAGACACCCCTCCCCTCAATAAATTGTTCCAGCACCACTGGTCTTGCCCCATTCTCACCGCTAGCCCCCTCATGGGTCAGGCCTTGCCCTTCTGCCCTCCCCGCCCTCCAGCCTCCCTACAGGGCCCCTTCACCTCAGGCTGCTCTGCCGCTTCAGTTTCCCTCATGCCGGGGGCTGCACCCCCCCTGCCTGCAATGGGCCCGGCCCCACCTGAAACTCCTCCAGGCGCCAGGGCAACGGAACGTGACCCATCCGAGGCAGCTCTTGTGACAGAATCCCAACCTGACCTGCCATTGGCTGAACACAGCCACCCGACAGCCAATGGGAAGTTGGGCTAACTAACCCCCTTCTCCCCCCCCCAACCTGCAATAAGTTAATTAAGCTGGCTGACTGCCAGGCATTTGGGCCAAAAAGAACATCTTCCTGACCAGCTGCCTTCAGGGGGCTTCCTGCCAGCGTCACACTGATTCCACACTGCTACTAGCTGGTTTTGCCCAATGGGGTGAGCTGCCTCGAGGGCCTAGCATGGAAATTGTCCCAGTTCATCTCAGACAGCTGCATCTTCTGGCTTCCCTCTTATGCTAGAAGCTTTCCTAAACAACCGCTCTGGCTCCGCCCTGTGCTGCTGAGGGCTGGCTTCCCTCATGCCCCAGGCCTGTTTCTCCTCCTCCTCCATGCGAGTACACTGAAATGACACCCTCGCTCCACTTGCAGTCATCAATTCAAGTAGGCCTCACATGCTCTCTCGTTCCCCCTCCCCCAAAAGAAACCCCAGCGCAGCCAGTTCTGGGGTGGAAGGCAGCAGTAAGCAGCCAGCGAGCCCACTCAACCTACATCTTGCAACAACCGAGAGAGGGGTATTTTAGCCAATATGCCATTACCCATGTACAACGCAGCTGCAAGGGCTCAAATGGAGGGAGGGAGAGGGAAATTGGTGGTGGTATTTGCCATGTTCCAACTGCAAAACTAACCCTGCATCACCTCCAGGAGACTCCACCCTCAGTAGCTTGTGCAGGTGTTCAAAATAAAACAAGTTACATCAACTTCATTATGCACCATATAACTAAAAGTAAAGAGGTTCTTAAATGGACAAGTGTACAGAGAAAGGACTGTAATACAACCAGTTCCTCTGCTTAAGTTGGTCTTAAATGAAGTATTTTAAAAGAAAGCTGCTTAAAGCATGCAGCCCCTTCTATCCTTCATAGTTGTTTTCTCAAACTACAGTGGAAGAAGGAAAGGACACAGTATTAACCCTTTCTTAGTTTTAGTACAAATTCTTCCTCCTTTTTAAGGTAGTGCACAGTGGGGTCTGGACATGAGCCAAACAAAGACATATGCAGATGAGGGGTTACTGACACCTGACTGCAATTTGCCCTTCCCTCTTTCACATTCCCTATGCAGATAAAGGAGACCGGTAAGCTGCCATTCGTTTTGAAAGATGCTAGTCGGCCCACATGGATCCCCATATATAACACTCAAACAGCAAAGAACTATCACTCCTACAGTTAACTTGTACACATCTTTGAAAGAACAAGGCGTCCTGTGGCACCTTAAAGATTAACAGATTTATCTGGGCATAAGGTTTGTACATATGACAGCTGATGCCAAAATAAATCTGTTAAGGTGCCACAGGACTCCTCATTGTTTTTGCAGACACAGACTAACACGGAGACTTGTCACTGCTTTGAAAGATAAAGGCTGTGTCTAGACTGCATCCCTTTTACGGAAAAGGGATGCAAATTAGACACATCACAATTGCAAATGAAGCGGGGATTTAAATCCCCCCTGCTTCATTTGCATAAATATGTCTGCCACTTTTTTCCAGCTCGGAGCTTTGCCGGAAAAAAGCGCCAGTCTAGACAGGGATCTTTCGGAAAAGAAAGCCTTTTCCGAAAGATCCCTTATTCCTCTTAAAATAAGGAATAAGGGATCTTTCGGAAAAGGCTTTATTTTCCAAAAGATCCCCATCTAGACTGGCGCTTTTTTCCGGCAAAGCTCTGAGCCGGAAAAAAGCGGCAGCCATATTTATGCAAATGAAGCAGGGGGGATTTAAATCCCCGCTTCATTTGCAATTGCGATGTGTCTAATTTGCATCCCTTTTACGGAAAAGGGATGCAGTCTAGACACAGCCAAAGAGCCCAATTCTGGTTTACCCTAAAGCCCCTTTCACACTGCCAGAGCCGTGTGAAGGGGCCTTAGAGTGCTGCAAATATAACTTACTCCCTCCTGTCCCCTCCCAAAAACCACCATTCACTGTTTTATTCTCTCCCTACTCCACCACTAGGGATGTTAAATATCGGTTAATTTAATAGTTGAGTAACCCCATGAATTCTTATCGGTTAGTCGACTATTCTTTAGTCCTTGGGGGGCAGGAATGGCAGCCAATATGCTGCAGCCTCACTCCCAAGAAGACCCCTGCCATGCCGCACTGCTGCCTCTGTATCAGACAGCAGTCTGGGGTGCCAGGCAGGAGCTGGTCTGCAAGAGGAGCCAGTTTAAAAACCAGCTCTCCTTACGGACTAGCTGCCTGTCTCCTTGTGCAGCAGCCCCTCTCTAGGCGGTGGTTGAGCTTCCGGACTCAGCACGAGCCGGAACAGCGTTGGACTGCCTGCCTACCCATCTCCTAATACACTTTAAATGCAGAGCTGCAGCGGGAGTAGGTCCCAGACCCGTTGCAAGCCAGGACTGACAAGTGTGTGTGGGGGGGAAAAATGTGTGTAGTCTATAGCATTAACCTATGAGCTTTTGCTTAATTGGTTAATCAACTACACTTTTACATCCCTATCCACCACCATACCCCCAACCCTCCCTCACTGGGAAAGGACAATCCAAAATAGATCTTAGCCCTTAAAGGAGTCAAAGGAACCTTCTGCACTGTTCCCCTACAAGGTCTCAAAACTGCGTAACAAAGAAAAGAAGGTGAAATGTACATTTCTATGCAGGAAAGGGGTTCAGTAAGTTTAGCTCCTGCATTACAAGGCATTGTACTATAATATAGGAGTGTTCTGTAGTATCTCTTCTGGGTTGTCTTAAGTAACAGCTAGTTTACTAACTTCAGGGGATAGCCAAGTTAGTCTCTTACAGAAAAAAAACAAAAACAACAACAAATAATGGTCTGGTAGCACTTTATAGATGAACGAAACATGTTTTGTTAGTCTATAAAGTGCTACCAGACCATTTGTTGATTTTTAGCTAGTTTACTGACTGCCATCACTGGAAGAAGAGTGAAGTACCTTTCATATTCCGAGATCTAATTCAGTGATACTCGGACACCAGTTGTCCAGGAGCCAAATTAGCAGTTAACATTGCCCAAAAGAGAAACAATAGTGTGAATTCATTGTTTAATTTACTATAGTATTACATATTCATATTTATGTTATTCTCACAGGTAAATGATCAATCCACTATCATTTTTATCAACTATAATTGATAAACAGTAAAAGCATCCTGATTTATTAATCTAGGTTATTCATCATTAAATCGCAGTTTTAATGTGTTGCAAAGAGCCACTGAAAATACATTGAAGAGACACTTGTGGCTCTTGAGCCACTAGCCATGTCTCCATTTACCAGAGGACTGACTCTGACGATTGATTTTCCGGGGTTCAGTTTAGTGGGTCTAGTAAAGACTTGCTAAATTGAATGCTTAAGGTGCCCTGTCAACAGTGGTACTCCTTGCTGTTGGGAGGAGTAAGGGAAGTCGGTGAGAAAGTGTCTCTCATTGACCTCCCACTGTGAGGCCACGTGGGAATGAGGAGGAAAAAAAAAATTGATGCAAGGTACATCAACTCCAGCTATGCAATTCACCTAGATGGAGTTGTGTATCTTGCATTGATTTTCTCTGCCAGTGTAGACCTGGCCTCAGGTTCAGTATCATTGATCTAATTGTGCCAGGACATGTAGATCCTGGTAGACTCCCTTCTACACCAGAAGTGGTGACTGCAGTCAGCCTCGACTTGTGGGAAGGACTAGAGGCAACCTTACTAGTGTACTGCGTGCACATTGACATGTGCTTCATTGTAGTAGGACTTCCACCAGTATTCTATGGAGATCCGGTACCACCTAGTGGTATTTTTTCACTATAACACAGACATGTCAAAAAGGATTTTACTAGATTAGAAGTCATTAGATCAGACTAGCAGCAGAGCTCTCTGGGTACGTCTACACACCAACTAGACACTTGCAGCTAGGCTATGCCAGCAGATTCAGTTTCAGGCTTGGGGGACTCTGGATGTGGGGCTGTTTCACTGCTGTGTAGACTTCCAAAGGTCAGGATGCTAGGCGGTAGGGTAGGGTGTGGGGAGCAGGGGAAGGGGTGTCTCAGAACCTCAGCTCTAGCTGAAAGCATACACAGCTAGGCAACAGCCCTGCAGCTGACTCAGCTGAGTTGGCTGGCATGACCCAGATGTGGGTTTAATTTGCTGTGTAGACATCCCCTGATTTAAAGCCTCTGAGGGTTTCTCTAACTTGGAGACATGACTTCTCCGGGGGCTGCGACCGGATTACACGGGGGAGTCACAAGCGGTCAGGCTCCATCCCCAACGCACGCTTTGCTGCCAGTATTTATTAGTGTTCAACAGAACAAAAAAGCATTTTAAAATTTTGAAGGGGAGGGAGTTGCACCCATCTGCTTGTGGTCTGAAAGGGGTCTGAGAAGCACTGCTTTAAAAACCAAGGCTATGTCTAGATGGCAAGCCTCTTTCGAAAAAGGCTTTTTCGAAGGATACTTTCCAAAAAGAGCATCTAGACTACAACCAGTATTTTCAAAAAAGCAAGCTGCTTTTTTGAAAGAGCAACCAGGCAGTCTGGATGCTCTCTTTCAAAAAAAGCACAGTTTGCATTACATTGTGCCTTTTTTCGAAAAAGCACTTTCCAAAAAAGGTAAAACGAGGTTTTCTGCGGTCGAAAAAACTGCCGCGTTCTTTCAATTTACTTTCAAAAGAACATGGCAGAAGTCTAGACGCAGGGGAAGTTTTTTTGAAAAAAAAAAAACCCTGTAGTCTAGACACACCCCAAGTGAAACAGATGCTGCAGAATGAGCAAATTAAAACCAGTATCAAAGCAATACACAAGACAGAGGAAAGGCAGTTTCTTTAAAAAGGCAAAATGTGAGCAGATGTATTACAATCTAGCTTTCTTTCCCCTCCTGCTAGCACAATATTTGTGGATAATAATATTCAAGTTGCCCTCTATTGATTTCCCCCACCTACATCCAAAGGGAACCCAGCACCAATGCTATCCTTTAAAAAAAAAATCAATTTAAAATATCAGTGCTCTGAGAGATTCCCTACAAACCCTTTTCTTCTCACCACCTAGCTCTCCTTTCTTGATGTGCAGTTCCCAGGCTGGTTCACCCTCCTCAGAGTAAAATCATAGCTGGCTATTCCCTGCGATTCTTCCTCCCAGCTGATGGGCAGCGGATTGGCCTCATGTAATTACAATACATTTTTAGCCAATTGTTCCATTATTTCCAGGCGGCTGACAGAGTATGTGGGGGACCTCTGCCAGCGATCACAAGTATCCACGCCTTTCACGCCCTCTTCTTGTTTTAGATATCAATGATGACAAATACTTCTGGCGTCTCTTCTTCGTAGATCTGCATTGCTGAGTAAGTTATTGCCTTGACCTCAGTACCCTGGAGGGAACAGGCACAGGAAAAGAGTTTGAGACCCTTCATCAATGGCTCTGCATCAATCACAGCAATACGTGAATGTTCACTGGCTTCCAGGGAATGCTGTTCAGTTTACAATCTAGTTTTAAAACCAGAGTCTGTGTCCTCCCTCCGCCCCCACACACACCCAAGGATGTGTAAGCTCTTCTCAGGGAGAGCGCACAAGAAAGCCTGTAAGTGACAGACAACACGTTTTATTAAGTACAGAAGTTTTCAACTAGGGCAGGGGAAGGGAGCAAAGACACGAGGTGGCTTGTGCCAGCGATGCTGAACAGGTCAGAGAGGGTGTGCCACCTCCACCCCTTAGCTGAACTTTGTGACAGCCTCCAGAAGCTGTTGCTAAATGGAAGGCAGAAATGTAGAGGAAAGATGACCCCATGCACCCTGCCCCACCTGAGTGGCAGACGACATTTGGAAAGGGATGCAAAAAGTTTGAAAGTTGCTCTTAAAAAAAAACAAAAAAATGCAACACTCCCTCCCCAGAAGCACGGCTGCACTGCAGGCATTATGACAGCACTGCATAGAAACTGGCAGGTCAGTAACTGATGGGCAAGTAGCAGAACAAATACCTCCTCCAAAGTTACTTCCTGCATAGCACCAACTCCCATCTCTCGCCACAACAGAACATCATAGGTTACCATATATATAGTAGCCCAGTGTCTGCAAGTCTGTAACGCCGAAATGCTGGCAGTTCCCTCTGGGGGGCGCTGTTGCCTGAAATGCTGGCTGTGGCTGCCTGGGGAGTATGGGGCCCACACAGACGCTTGCACGGCTTACTCCCCTGCGGCGCCACGGCTGAGCAGCGCAGAAGTCAGCCGAGCGCCACGGTGGGGGGCGAAGGGGAGCGGGGTGGTGACATGCGGTGTGACAGCAGCTCCAGGCCCCGCCCCCTGGCCGTGAATGTCACCTCCCCTTCGCCTCCCACCGT